ATGTTGTGCAATGCCCACGGAGGACAGAAGAGGCTATTGGATCCCCTGGAACTGGAGTTATGGACAGTTGTTAGCTACTATGTGGGTGCTGGGATTCAGACACAGGTCTTCTGCAAGAACAACCAGTGTTCTTAACTGCTGAGCCATCTCTCCAGCCCCAAACATTTATATTTTTCTAAATAGGTGGTGTGTGTGTGTGTGTGTGTGTGTGTGTGTGTGTGTGTGTGTGTGGCTGCAAAAGATTTTTGTTACCACAGGGATTGAAAGCTGGGTGGCTAGAAGAGAGAAAATTTTCACTTGTTTCATAAGATTTTATTTTTACTTTATGTGTATGAGTGTTTGCCCACACGTATGTGTATGCACCACACGTGTGACTGGTGCCCATGAAGGCAAGAAGAGGGTATCAGATCCCCTGGAACAGGAGTTATAGGCAATTGTTAGTGGCCATGTGGGTACTAGGAACCAAATCATGGTCCTCTGCAAGAACAAGTGCTCTTAACCATGGAGCCCTCTCTCCAGCCCCAAGAATTTTCACTTGTAACTTTGGTAGCACATTTGAATTTTCATCCACATGAATTTACTCCACACATTGTCATTTTTAAACATTTACTCTGTGTGTGTGTGTGTGCGCGCGCAGGTTCAGGTGTAGTGTAGAACATGCATTGCGGTCAGAGGACAACTTGTGGGAGTCAGTTCTTTCCTTCTACCATGTGGATCCTGGGGATCAAATTCAGGTTGTCAGACTTGCTAGCAAGTGCCTTTACTCACTGAGCCTTCCCACAGCCCTGATTAAGTCACTTTTCATGAACAGTTTCCAGCCAGATCAAAACCTTTTGCTCCAAGTAGTAAAACTGGAAATATTAAAATGTTTGGGGCATATGTATATATAACAAAAGGTCAAACATACATTTAAACTTAAATACACTATCCTAATAATCTGATAGTAATTTTGTTTGCCTTTTAAAAATTTTAGAATGTCTTCTTTTGATTTAATTTTATGTGTTTTGCCTGCATGTTTATAAGTGCACTCGTGTATGCAATGCCCAGTGGGGGCTAGAAAGGGACAAGAAGGGGGCATAGGATCCCCTAGAACTGGAGCTACAGATGGTTGTGAACCACCGTGTTTGTGCTAATAACTGAACCCAGGTCCTCCAAAAGAGCAGGCAGTGCTCTTAACTACTGAACCATCTCTCTAGCCCTCTAGAATGGGTTTTTGAAAGATAATTTAAAATGACCTAAGTACATCTTTCATTTTAAATGACAATTTTTTCACCCACTTAAAAAAAATTGGGGGGCTGGAGAGATGGCTCAGCAGTTAAGAACACTGTTCTTGCAGAGGACCCGGTGTCTTAGTTTGTTCTTCAATGCTGTGACAAAACACTCTGACCACTACCAGCTTGGGGAGGAAAGGGTTTATTCAGCTTTTGTCTCCCAGGTTGTAGTTCATCAGGGAGCCCAAGGTAGGAACTCAGGGCAGGAACCTGGGGGCAGGAGCTGGAGCACAGGCCATGGAGGAATGCTGCTTACTGGCTTGCTCCCCTGGCCCCTGCTCAGCCTTCTTTCTTATGCCACACAGGCCCACCTGCCCAGGGGTGGCACCACCCACAGTGGGCTGGGCCCTCCCACATCACTCAAGAAGATGCCCCTCAGACATGGCCACAGGCCAGTCCAATAGAGGCAATTTCCCAATTGAGGTTCCCTCAACCCAGGTGTGTCAAGTTGACACTAAAGCTATCCAGCACACCCGGGTTCGAATCCCAGCACCCACATGTTCCCAGTACCCACATCGTGGCTAACAATCGTCCATAACTCCAGTTTCAGGGGATCTGACATACTCTTGTGAAATTGGTGCACTTACACTACACACATGCAGGAATAACACTCATACACATGAAATAAAAATAATAAATAAAATATTTTTAAAAAGCCAGGTGTAGTGGCACACGCCTTTAATCCCAGCACTTGGGAGGCAGAGGCAGGTGGATCTCTGTGAGTTCAAGGCCAGCCTGGTCTACACAGTGAGTTCTAGGCCAGCTGGGGCTAAAGGGAGACCCTGTCTCAAAAAGACCAAAAAAAAAAAAATTAAAAAAAAATTTCAAGGACTTACTCAACATTTCTCCCATTTACTATTTCATACTTCCTCAATTTATTTAAAGTTACAAGTGCTGTCAGTCAGTAACAAACCAAAGCAGCACCACAGGAAGCAATAAATGCTATTGTCACTCACTTTTATGGTTCACTACCATAGCTAGCTTTGGTCTACTTACAGCCACCCGTTTGAAAGTTGGAGAAGGCACAGAGAGAAATCATCCTTTGCCCTGTGACCTTTATTGGAGTCTTCCTGCCCTACCCCTACAAGAGGCTATATGCCAAAAATATCTTCCCCAAAGGAAATTTTCTTTAATATTTTATTATTACTTTATGAGTGTATGTTTGCATGTATGTAAGTGCACCCATGTCATGTAATGCCTGCAGAAGTCAGAAGAGAGTGTCAGTCTCTAAAACTGGAGTTATGGATGGTTGTTAGCCACCATGTGGGTGCTTGGGAATTGAACATGGGTCCTCTAGAAGAGCAGCCTGTGCTCTTAAAAGCTGAGCCATCTCTCCAGCCCCAGGAAATACAGGGGTTTGTCAACAATCATATATGTATATGGACCTTGATTCCAGAATAAGGAACTTAGTAAAGAATAAAAGAAATAAAACTTCCATTTGCCTCTAAATATTAGTATTTATAATTAACTGAATTTTTTTTGCTAATTGCTAACTATGAGAGGTCAAAAGTCACCTCTCATGTTCTCAGTGGACAATTTAAGTAAAATTAGACCAGAAAAACATTCCATTGTTTTTTCAATGGAAAAAACAATTCCTCCTATAGCCCTTTTATTGATGCCATCACTGTTCCAGAGCAACACAGATAAGAGATAATTTTAGGGGCTGGAGAGATGTCTCAGTGGTTAAGAGAGGACCTGGGTTCGATTCCCAATACCCACATTGCAGCTAACAACAGTCCTAAGTCCTAACTCCAGTTCCAGGGGATTTGATGTCCTCTTCTGACCTCCAAGCATTGCACAACATGGGTGCACTCACATACATGCAGGCAATATACTCATACACAAAAATATAATATTTTAAAAGAGGTAATTTTAAAGACAAAGTTTTAAGCAAAACTTGGCTGAACTCCACAATTTTCTAGTAAAAGACCTCTTTTACCACTGTCCCTCAGATCCTTTGCTAAATGGGGGGGGGTGTCCCTGAACAACTCTAGACATGCCTGCCATTATACACCTCTCACCACATCTAAAAGATAAAAATTCTGATTTTATCCATAAGGCGAAAAACATCTTCTGATTACTTTAATGTGAGATCCTGGTGATAGTAGACAGTGGCACTTAAAAGAACATGAATCTTTGTAAGATTTGAAGGCAGAAAAGTAGAGCCAGTTGGTAACCGAATTGTTCTTCCTTTAGGGATTTGGGGTTTTGTTTCTATTCTTAAACTTTTCAATGGCACAAGCCATTTGAAAACATCCCTAGGAATTTTTCTCTTTCCAAGCCACTTTGCCCTGTCCTTGTACCCACCTTTCACTTTAAATCATGAAGAGATTTCAGAAACCCCCTATGACTATATTAAAAGAACAGTAACTAGGTCAGTGAGATGGTTCATTTGATAAAAGTGCTTGCCATACCTGAGTTTGATCCCTAGAACCCATGTAAAAATGGAAGAGAACTCCTAAGAGTTCTCTGACCTCAACATACACCAGGTAACATGCAAGCTCACACATATACACACAAGAATCAAATAAGTAAAAAAAAAAAAAAATTAAACAGTAACTGGCTTCACAATTGCTCCTCAAAAATGTTTATATTTAGATAATTTACTCAGAAAAATGAGGAAACATCTGATCAAAGAAGGGCCCAAGAGACCAAAGCCAGCCCTTAAACAATACAGATACCTTGTCACCTGGTTTGTAGGCACAGGAAGAGCTCACAGTCACAGCCGTCAGGGTTGGACAGCCTCCAGTGCAGGCCCAACAGATTCCATATGCCAGAGCCTGGCATATAAACTACTATCTCTATCCTTTGAAGAAAGTTCTAAGAGTTAGGGTAATCCCATAGGCTACTGGGCAGATCTCCAAATGGCCTCAGGAGAAGTGGAGCTCTGCCAACAGCAATGGCAATGAGCCAACTATGCAGACTTTAAGAGGATCAAGGGAAGGACTTTGATACACAGCAGTGTGGATAAAAGAGTTGTTACCTAACATGAAGCACTTAAAAATGTACTTATTGATATACTAAGAGTTTGCCACAAACTAAACACTCTGAAGCTAAATCATAAAATGCTTCACTGTCAGCCCCAAATACAAATGTCTGTACCTCAGTTTTATACATTCACAAACAGAAAAGTGATTTTTTTGCTTTGAGACAGCATCTCACTATATAGCCCAAGCAGCCTTGAACTTGTGATTCTCTTCCCTTGGCCTTCTGAGTACTGAGATTATAGGTATGTACTGTGATGCTTCAGAGAGGTTATTTAATACAGCCATTTACAGCTATGGTAGTTTGTTTTATACAGGATATTCATTTCAGGAAAATTTTTTATTTTATTTTTGTTTTTCGGGACAGGGTCTTCCTTCAGCCCCAGGAAGACCCTGGGCTTCCACTATATAGACCAGGCTGGCCTTGATCTCAAAGATCCACCTGCCTCTGTCTCCCAAGTGTAAAGGCATGTGTCACCACACCCAGCTTCAGTAAACTTTTTAATGGAAGTAAAACAGGATCACCACAACACCAAGGATCATTAAAATATTTTAATATTAATATACATTTTATCACAGAAATACAAATTTTTTTTTGTCTTTTTGAGACAGGGTCTCCTTGAAGCCCCAGATGTCCTGGAACTCACTATGTAGACCAGGCTGGCTTTGAACTCACAAAGATCTGCCTGCCTCTGCCTCCCAAACACAAAATTCATTTTTGGTCTTTTTGAGACAGGGTCTCCTTGTAGCCCCAGCTGTCTTAGAACTCACTATGTAGACCAGGCTGGCCTTGAACTCACAGAGATCCACCTGCCTCTGCCTCCCAAGTGCTGGGATTAAAGGCCTGCGCCACCACGCCTGGCTACAAAATTCTTATATACCAGTTTTTAACAACAAAATCCTATTGACGTAGTATCAAATATGTTACAAACAGAATAATTTATATACTCAAAATACCTTCAACAAATTCTTCTCTATTCTTTTGGGGAGTATAGCACACACCCAAATGGAGAGTAGGGATTGCTTCAATCAATCATGATGGTTATTTCTATAATTTCAGTCTTTCCCAGCCTAGTGTATATACACATAATCTTACTGTTGATGAAAGAGAGAACCCCAGGGGTTGGGGATTTAGCTCAGTGGTAGAGTACTTGCCTAGCAAGTGCAAGGCCCTGGGTTTGGTCCTCAGCTCTGGAAAGAGAGAGAGAGAGAGAGAGAGAGAGAGAGAGAGAGAGAGAGAGAACCCATACACACCCCTCTCATCACATTTAAAAGGTAAAAATTCTCATTTTGTCCACAAGGTAAAAAGAATCTTAATGTAATGTTTCCATCTCTTAAGTAGTCTTAGAACAAAAAATATCCTGTGAGATGCATTTCTTGCAGGAATTAGTTGTTATGAAGAACCATTAGGGGGTCTGTTCCCTCTGTGAATGATTTCTGAATGTTTTCAATATGCCCATTCTATGTGTTGAATACTTGTCTAGTCTATTTACGTGGGATGTGCTGCCTCTTGAACTGGAGCTGATGCTATGTAGCCTTTCAAATAAATAGATGAGGTAGCTTAATTTACATAATCACTGAGGGCTGAAGTGAAGGGGAAAGGAAAAAGGAAAGGCTTTCCTATCAATTAACATGAATATCCTTCCCACTCACCACACAGGGTTGGTGAGAAGAATGGAAGACAGTCCTGGAGAGAAGAATATGTGCAGGAGGGGATGGAAATGTCTTGCCTACAAGCTGAGTCCACAGTCAGGTTGCCATAGTTCACTTACATCACTATTTTCCAACTTTCTATATGGAAGACATATTTCACTGGATAAAATATACACATTATATATGTACAGAATACAGTATGGTACTGGGCATCAACTTAACATATTCATGAAGTACACATGAATGTAAGGCACTTTCGCGGTTTACAAAAGTGAATGCCTCCAAGTTAGATGTCAACCAAGAATGGAGAAATCCTCACAAAAGTTTATAGGAATCCTGAAAACCGAAATATGTATGAATCCTTACTAATCTTGGCGAACAGTTTGGAAACCTTAGTGTGACTGAAGGACAGTTATGAACTAAATAGCTGTTTGAAAATACAGAGTTCTACACATCAGTGTCAGGATTTTAAAATGCTCTTATAAAATCCGAGTAGACCCAGGGCTTTAGTTTCTCAACCAGAGGAGACTGCTATGTAGGCAACAATCACACAGAATACTGCTGTTTAGATGGAGTGATTGTAATACCACACTATGTGCTATGAGGAGACTTACAGAGAAACTGGAAGTAATAAAGGCTCAAGTTGGTTTTATGCTATACTTAAAATCAAGTATTTTCAATTTTTAAATAAAAATGCTGTTCTAAATAATGTGAGCTTTCCTATGACTCTTCAAAAGAATGCTCACAACAACAAAGCTAAAATTTTATTTTAAAGGAATACTTAATTTTTTTTTTTTTTGTCTCTTTGACAGGGTCTCACTGTAGCCCCAGCTGGCCTAGAACTCACTATGTAGACCAGGCTGGCCTTGAACTCACAGAGATCTGCCTGCCTCTGCCTCCCAAATGCTGGGATTAAAGGCATGTGCTACCATGCCTGGCCAGGAATAGTTTATTTTTATGCCACCTTTCCCAAGAATTCTAAAAGAGCTAACCCTGGACCACAGTAGGAAGGGTATCATTAACAAAGTCATGGTTTCAGATAATACAGCTGCACTTTGCTCCTTTGCTCAAAGTAAAAGAATATAGACTTGAATTTTTTAAAAAAAAATTTATGTTACAATGTATCAATAATTCAATGGTTATCTGGGTCTAAAAGTAACATTTTAAAATCATCTTCTTAAATTTTAATTCAAGAATACAATTAGTGTATCCTTGGTGCTGATGTGGATTATAATGCTCCTCAGTTCCCTTCCTTAGCTACAACTTGAACCTTTGCTGCACTTCATCTTCGATCATTCTTGAAATTGCCAGAGAAGAAGTGGCAGCAGGGGAAGGTGCATTTCTCACATGAAGAACACGGTTTCCAATATCCCCAACTCCTCCATCAAATACAAAGTCATCAATCAGATTTCCATCTCTATCCAGGGCTTGGGCTCTTACTCCAGCTGGGCCTCTGCAAAAGGAAAAAAAAAAATGTTAGTCAACTACACCAAGGAGACAGGACACTCTACAAGGCAGTAGTTTTCAAAAGGATTCTGAAAGCAATGAAGTCTTTATTTTTCCAAACACACAATTATGTGGAAAGCTGATAGGTTTAAGTTTAGCAAAAAAGGTCTGTCAATGATAGCCTGGCAAATGTATATCCTTAGCTAGAGTAGAATGACAATACCCTCAGAGATCAGAACTGGAACTGGAGTTACAGCTGGTTGTTAATTGCCATGTGAGTGTTAGGATTTGAACCCAGATCCTCTGCAAGAGCAGACAGTGCTTTTAAACCCTGAACCATCTTTCCAGCCCTGAAATACTTATCAAATGAATATACATATATTTACTTATAAGTATCCATTCATTCTAAGAGTAGCAGATAAATTTGTATTCAATTAGAATAGATGTTTTTATTTAAAATCATAGAATGAATTTATTATAGAAACCAACAGTGGCAGCGCAAAGCTCTTTGGATTAATATAAAGTAATGGAAGTAGAAGTTACAAATTTCAGTTGCATATTTTATACATTATTAAAATTTATGGAGAAAACTATTGGGTTTAACCTCCAATATCAGGAAAATCTCTGATTAAAAGGAGATGACAAATATTTAGAGATGAAATTTGAATTAACTGCTTTTAGAATCCAAAATTACCCCCTTTGATATTGCTTAAGGAAACCCAGTATGAAAAGGCCTGTCTTTTGTGTATCATAAAGAATGAAGAAGTCAAGCAACCCTGTGAAACAGTTTTTACTGATTCTGGGACATCTAGATAAGTACTTGAGAAAGATGCAAAGAAGAACATGACAATACTGCCCTCTAGACCTCACCTGGCTGAAGAGAGATAAAAAAAATGGCTACTATTGACCAAGTGCTTAATGTGTGCTAGGAATCATCTTATTTATCCTTTCAACTCTTGGAGGTCTGTGTAGTTTATATGAAACCTTGAAGTAATACAAAGAGATTAAGTATCTTGCCTGAAGTCATTCAGCTGTACTGTTCACTTATATAGAGGTAAATAAGAGTTAATAAATGTGAATGATTGTATGATAAAGGTAAATATTCTGCCCTACAGGATCGGATTTTTTTGTTGTTTGTTTTTTGAGACAGGGTTTCCCTATAGTCCTAGCTGGCCTGGAACTGGCTATGTAAAACCAGGCTGGCTTTGATCTCAGACATCTGTCCGCTTCTGCCTCAAGAGTGCTGGGACTAAAGGCATGTACCACTATGCCTGGCAGGATCAGATTTTTGAGTTAGAATAATTTCCAAGTAAGAATCTGATACATCACTTAGAGCACAAAAAGAATGGCACTAAAATCTGGCATTTCTTAGGACAAAGATGCGGATTAGTATATGGTCCATTCTGTGTACTTTTTATAGCTCATCTCAACTCATCAAAGCAACTCTTCTCCTCATTTCCCTTAGCAAATACTGCTGCTGCTGATTAGTGTTTCTGTGCCTGAGTGTCTTCCAGAGCCGATGTTGGGTATACAAGCACTGTGACCAGTCACTGATGTTCAGTGTGCAGTGTAAAATTACTTTCCTCTGCACACACAGTTCTTGCTAATCACATATGACTTAATCTGCACACATAGTTCTTGCTAATCACATATGACTTAATCCTGATAAACCATAGCAAAAAAATTGTCCAGTTATTTCTTACAAAAACACAAGTTATTTCCCCAAACCTTTAAATGTGAAACAAAACACTGTTTTTAAGACCTCCTTTTAGTTCAAACTAACATGAAATATTTAAACTATACAATTCATGTTCTATTTTCAGCATTTTAGGAAACCTTATGATTTTCTCCTACAAGGTTATATGCAGGCTCTTTCAGAACACTTCGGCTTCAGGTCAGTATTGTAATTTGAAATTTCAGGTAAGATAAACCAAAAATGCCTGAGGGCAAAGATAATACCTTATACCACCTCCTACCTCACCTTAATTTCCAGATTCATGTGTTGCATATCCCAGGCATTCAAAAGACTATACACCAAATTTTTAAACTTCTAATTCTTTTTTAACAACTGAAGAATAATTCAGCAAATACATGCCAGTTATAGTTAGCATAGTGCTTGCTATCGATAGCTATATTATTTTGCTGTATTTGTAGTTAAGTTTAATTGCAGGGTACATCCTAGATACTTAAACATGTCCAGAAGTAATAGCAGGTGAATATATAACTAATTAGCTTCATCTATTGGAGCTATTACTGTCTCATGACAGCTATTAGACTGGAAAAATAGCTATGAAAAATTTAACTGGCATCTTTGGCAAGTCCTAAGTAGGATAGCCTAGCATTTTATAAAGCTCACAATGGCATCTACAGCCAATCTAAAACTGTAACCCCATGTGAACACATTAAATGGAAGTGGTAGTATGGAGAAGGCAAGCAATTCGTAGTTTCCAGACCTGAAGAAGCAGTGACTTCCTGACTAGCCTCCAAGAGAAGTGGATTGTGAGAGAACATGGCTCTTCCCAGGGCCACTTTTTTCCTTTTCTTTTCTTTTCTTTTTTTTTTTTTTTTTTTCTGGTGTTAAGGATGGAACCCTTGCTTTGAATATACTAGGAAGTATTCTACCACTGGCTTATACTCACAACCCTCTAAGCCTAATGTTAGGGCATAGAACATTTTGAGATTCTGTAGATGTCCTATGGGAGCTTGACTAATACAAGTACTCTACAATTGGGGCAGAAGGGATCTACAACAGCACTTAGGAGTCAAATTCTGCTATCTGTTCTATCTGCTATCTCACTTCTAGTGGTATAAGAGCTGACTGTGAGTCTCTGTTCAGCAGAACTTTACTTGAGGGAATCCTGGGTCTAGGTGCATCCACAGAGATTTTACCTTTGTTTCTATCAGGTGTTTCAGGGGGAATTTAATGTATAAAGGGGCTGGGGAGATGGCTCAGTGGTTAAGAACACTGGCTATTCTTGCAAAAGACCTGGGTTCAATTCCTAGCACCCACAAGGTGACTAACAACAGTTTGTAACTCCAGTTCCAGGGGAATCTGATGCGCTCTTCTGACCCCCATGGGAAGTGCATGATATGGGTGCACTTACATACATGTATGCGATACTCAAACACATTTTTAAAAATGTATAAAAGCCAAAAGGACAGTATATTGAACTCCTATATGAATTACCATGAACACCGTTTAAGATAAATGTTTCAACAATTATGCACACATGGCCAGTCTTCTGTTTATCTTGTTTTATCCACTCAGTGCTCACCATTCTCCCATGGATTATTTTAAGGCACACCCATATGGCATACCATTTCAAGTCAATGTGCATGAAAACTATGCCTAACAATAAAGCAGTGAGTGCTTAGCATAGACAATATTCAGTCTGTATCAAATTGTCCTGGATTTTCACTCTCTAATTTAGACATGGTGGGGGGGAAGGAGGGAGGAAGGAGAGAGATTGGGGTTGAAGCAGGATGGAGCAAGTCTGTGTCCACTTTTATAAGTTAACCTCTCCACTTATGGTCCTTATGCATTCAGATTCTCACTCGCTCATGCCTTATCCACTAAGGCCAGGATGGACAAAATTCCTTAATACTTTCTAGTGCCAAAGGGGAATATTTTTTCCTAGATTTCCTTTTTACTAAAAACACCTCAATTCTGGGGCTGGAGAGACGGCTCAGTGGTTAAAAGCACTGGCTGTTCTTGCAGAAGACCTGGGTTCAAATCCCAGCACCCACATAGCAGCTAACAACTGTCCGTAACTCCAGTTCCAGGGGATTTGACAGCCTCTTCTGCCCTCTGCTGGCATTGCAAGACATGGGTGCACTTACCTACATGCAGGCATAACACTCATACACAAAAAAATAATAAATAAAATATTTTTTAAAAAAACCTCAGTTCTAACTTTCTAGGTACATAGACCTGAGGCCTCCTTTCTAGTACCTCTGTGGAAATTAAACTGCAAGTCCCTAATGTTCTAATATCTTATTTTGTGTGGCAGACATAGACAATTTACAAAATTCACTGTGCACTTAAGAGGTACACATTTTATTGCATATGAATCAGACATCATTTAAAAGGATAAATCAGGCCAGGCATGGTGGCGCATGCCTTTAATCTCACCACTTGGGAGGCAGAGGCAGGCAATCTCTGTGAGTTCAAGGCCAGCCTAGTCTACATAGTGAGTTCCAGGACAGCTGGGGCTACAGGGAGACCCTGTCTCAAAAAGACCAAAAATAAATAAATAAATAAATAAATAAATAAATAAATAAATAAATGGATAACTCAACAGAAAGCATGTAAGGTCTAGGAGACAGGGAGGACTTTGAAATGCCATCTCCTGGCCAAGACACAGCCATCACAATCACAACTCACTGTGGTTCACAATCAGCTGTAATTGTGTGCACTAGGCATGCACAAGAATAAGTCTGTCAACAGCCAAGCATGGATTCAGGCAGGCCTGAGGGGCCCAACCCCTCCCTGCTGAACTAGTGACTGCTAATAAATTCTGGGAGAGGAGTCATTGCCTTCAGCTGTATACCCACTGATCAGCCCAGCAGGCTCTAATGGATAGCTCGGAAACAACAGACATGCAGTCACACCTGATTAAACTCAGTGGGTCACCAAAAAAACCCTGAATCTAGGAAAGGGAGGAGAATCAAGTGTAGGGAGGAGAGGCCAAAAAAAAAAAAAAAAAAAAAAGCATGAAAATGTAAAAGAACAAACGTAATTATATTTAACTCAAGGCTCCCAGTTATTAAAATGAACACATCTTTGCTACTGCTCCTTATAAGGCAGCAGCAGTACCAACTCCTCTTAGCAAATTTCTTCTTTGTTTTTGGTATTGAGATATCCTGTTTTCCTTCAATGTCAGTTATATCTCTATTTCTATATTTATTATCTATATCTATTTTGACGATGTTTATTAAATTTTCTCAGCATTTTTTATAGTATAAATGTTCCCAAATTCTCTATAGACTAGTGGTTCTCAACCAAAGGAAATTTTGCCCCCTAGAAGATGCTGGCAATGTCTGGAGGCAGTTTGGCTGTCACAAATAGGGGAATGGGAAGGCCAGCAATGCTGTTAAACATGCTGCAGTGAACTAGAGGGACCTCACAGTGAAGGATTATTTAATGCAAAATGACTGTCTCCAAATGCACCTGTATATAGCGCTGTGCGCTCTTTTCTACTTCATGTTAATGAAGCTGGTTACTGAAATTAATACCCTTAATACAGTGAGGAGACACTAATACCCATAGGCCTCAGGTCCAGCTCTATCATATGAAATCCACCGGTTTAATGGGTTTGCCTGAGGCTTCTATGAAAGGGTGGTAACTGAATATGGGCAGTGAATTCACTGCAACAGTTTCTATAAAGAATCTCCTACACCCATCCAAACAACAGTAATAGAAACCTGATTTGACCAGTCTATTTTCAGATATAAGACACTATGTCTGCTCCTCCAAACCACTGAAAACATAAAGGGCGTTATTTATAAGTGAGTAGAAGAAAATAAACCTTGATATTTTTATCCTTTTCATTTCAGAAGGTGAGTAGAAGAGTAAAGAGAAGCGAAGACATCAACTGGGTTTTAGAGACAGATTTAGATCAAGATCCCCAGAGGGAGACAGCTGACATGATTACTGCTCTCTTTCCAGATACACAGTCAAGCCTACTGACATTTTACACCAGGCTAGGTCAACAGCTGCTCAGGGAAGGTAGACATGTAGTGCTCTGGAGAGCTGTGGAAGGATGGATTGCAAGGCAATGTAAGTATCAAAGTACACTGCTGATTAGCCCCAGCAAATGGCATGAACACTAAAAATATCACCAAAGAGGAAAAATATACAAAAGGTGGTATTCAAGATAATCTACACATCAAGTTCAGAAAGTCTTTCATTCTAAGAAAAAAACAAATACTTTTCCTGACACCCCCGTATCAAAGACTTAGATTATTGCCGTGCTACCTCCTACTTTTGTCTATAAGCAGAGCTCCTGAGAACAAACTAAGAAGTAGAAGGGACTGGACAGATGGCTCAGCTGTTAAGAGCATAAAGTAGTCTTCAGAGACTTGAGTTTGAGTCCCAGCACCCATGCTGGGCAGAGCTGCCTATAACTCCAGCTCCAGGGGGTATGTGATCTCTGGTCTCCTAGTGCACTTGCACTCATGAATATATACCCCCACACAGACACATCAACATCCACATAATTTAAATTAAATCTGTTTTTTAAAAAAGTAGAGAAAATGGCAATATGCCAGGTCTTGAAGTATGTATCTAAAAGGTTTTTAATAGTCAATCAAATATAGTGTAATATTTTATTTATTATTTTTATTTTATATGTATGAGTATATGGTCTGCATGTAGGTAAGTGCACTGCCTTGCCTGCGTGTCATGCAATGCCTGTGGAGGACAGAAGAGGCTCTTGGATCCCCTGGAACTGTAGTTACCGACAGTTGTTAGCTGCCATGTGGGTGCTGGGATTCGAACCTAGGTCTTCTGCAAGAACAACCAGTGTTCTTAACCACTGAGCCATCTCTCCAGCTCCTATCAATATAGTTTTAATGTGTCTATTACTTAGTTAACATGGTATCAGTGATTTTATACAGGATTAAAGTCAAGAAGATTTGAAATCACAAAAGCAAGTTGCCAGGGAGATTTTAAAAATTCAAGAAAGATGTTTTAATCATGACGCAAAAGTTGAGGGGGCATCAAAATAAAGCTGTGGGGGCTGGAGAGATGGTTCAGTGGTTAAGAGCACCATGCATTGTTCTTGCAGAGGACACGAGTTCCATTCCCAGCACCCATGTTAGATGGCTCATAACTGTATAACTCCAGGGGGATTGGGAACTTCTGGTCTCCTCAGACATCTGATCATGTGTGCACATACACATACTTTAAAAAATAATTTTAAAAAATCTTAAAAAAATAAAGCTGTGATAAGAGTTTCAGTTTGGAGCTGTTAAAAGGTTTAGAGAATTAGAAAAAAATCAGCATCACGGGCTATGATATAGCACTGTCCAACACATGCACTACAAAAGGAATTCAACATTCTTGGGAAAAGGGGAGAGAGCAAAGATTCAGTGGATAAACTAAAAGTGAACTTACTAGTCACTAAGTCAGACCTACCTCCCAAGTTTACCAAGGTCAGGACTATATTTACAATCCCTACCATTTTCCTTACCTAACTATATCATTAATGGTAATTTCAGGGATGAACTTTTGAAGATCCTTCACTGTTTCACTAAGAAAACAGGCTTTATACATTTCATTAACTCCATAGGAGAAATTCTGGAACACCAGTTTAATGAAGCCACTAAAAGTAAAGGAAAAATCTTCATGAGACAGGAATTTTTTTATTATTATAAAACACCACATAAATCTATGAAGTCAAAAAATCTACATATTAAAGAACCATTTTGCAGCCGGGCATGGTGGCACATGCCTGCAGTCCCAGCACTTGGGAGGCAGAGGCATGCGGATCTCTGTGAGTTCAAGGCCAGCCTGGTCTACATAGTGAGTTCCAGGACAGCTGGTGCTTCAGGGAGACCCTGTTTCAAAAAAATTAAAAAAAAAAAAAAAAAAGTTAAAAAAAAAGAAACATTTTGCCAATATGGAGAGGACATCATCCAAACCCCAAATTTCTAAGGGGTCTTGGTTTCAAACTGGGAGTCTATGAAGCTTGCCAACATTAAGGCTTTCTAATCTAAATATTGCTTCCAACACAGTAAAAAGCATCTTTAAATCAGGGCATTAATTAAGCGAGACACATCCTACCTATGGTAGGGAGAGGTAGCAAGGACATTGGCTGAGAAGTTTTATCCTAATCCTTCTGTTCTACAGAGGGTGAAACCATGTAGAGTTCAAAATGCTTTCTAGTGCTTTGATATGACATCTTCTGAAGAGAAACATTACTAAAAAGACCAAACAGGTGGTGGGGAAGAGTTTGGCACCCCACACCCATGCAAAAAGCTGCTGTGACTGCACATGCCTGTAGTCCCAGCCCTAGGGAGGTTGGAGACAGGAGAATCCCTGGGGTTGCTGACCAGCTAGTCTAGCTGAATCACTGTGCTCCTGGTTCAGTTTGAGACCCTGTCTAAAAAAAAAAAAAAAAAAAAAAGTAAGATGGAGGCTGGGCCTGTACCTTGCCTGTGGCATATGCCTTTAATCCCACACTTGGGAAGCAGACCCAGAGTTTGAGGTCTTCCTGATCTACATGTGAATTCCAGGTCAGTTAGGGCTACATAGTGAGACCCTGCCTCAAAAAAATAAAACAAACAAAAACCAAAGCACACACACAAAAAGATGGAGAACAATTGAGAAAGACACCTGACATCAACTTCTGGCTGCACATGCATGTCTACACACATATGTACCTATATACCTCACACACATATATATAACCAAGCAGAATATTCATGAGGCTATTTCTTAGAATAGTAAGAATCTGCATCTTGGATCTACACAATAGTATTCTTAAGTTTCACAAAACAAACATTTTGTTCATAAGCATTTCTCTAATAAGTCACAAAACAATGGTGATCAGCTTGAAATGATCTTATCAAAGTAACTCCTTTACTAGTTTTGGACTAAATAAATAAATAAACAAATAAATCTACAAGCACATAAAATAATTTTTAAGATAAAGTTGTTACCTATTGATAACTACTTCCATAAAATCTCTGGCACTGAAGTCAAAGGGTCTGTAACCTTCCCTTTTAAATGCAAGCACTGCATTTGGCCCTAGCCAAATACTGCCATCCATCCTTGGTGTGAAGTGAATGCCAAGGAAAGGAAACCGGGCATCTGGGACCTGTAGATTTAACACACCGAAGAACTGTGAGCCCATTTCACATTCCATGATTATAGATACAAACATCTAACCAGCAAAATAAAATAGTTCCTTCTAGACTTTTGATGTGCATTGTGATCCATACTCGGATATGCTTTTCTATTACCCTCTTTCTGCTTAAAAACACTATTGACACTGATATTTATTGTCCCATCCACTCACCATCTTTCCTGGTAAAGGGGCAACAAAAATGTAACTCTTTTACTTCAGATTATCACCTCTTTCTCCTATAAGACAGGTCTGTGACTGGCAAGTAAAACCAGGGCTACATAACACAGGTTTCGCTTGGAAGAGTGGGAGAAGCAGATGAATTGCCAAAAGGCAAGGTCAAAACATTAAGTAGGCATATATTTGGTGAACCAATTTCATTTGGCTCAACTTAATATACCTTTAGATTTGCTCATCAACAGGGCAGATGCAGGAAGAAGAATGAGCATCCCCATCTTCTACCCCCTGGAACTAGAGTGGGCACATCCTTTTTACATAAAGGGCACTAATAAAGAGGTTGGCTATCTGGGATTTCCAAAAGGGAAAGTTTATGAGTGTTCCCTCTACTGTAGAAGAGGAATCTGGTTCCATCTTCTTAGTACTTCTCATGGTGTGCTCATGGTTTCTGGGACATGTACCCCTGAGCATTAGTTACAACTTAATGACCATGACATCAGAATAAAGATTCAGAAATTTAACCACAAGAGCAACAGATGAAAAGGGCATAAATAGCCCTTTAAACCTTTTTTTTTCTGATGCAGGTAAAAGCTTTTGTTTTCACTTCCTGGTTTTTTTGGGTGAAGGATGTCTTTTTGAGACAGGGTCACCCAGTAGTCACAGCTGTCCTGGAACTTGCTATGGAGACCAGGCTGGTCTCACTCTTACAGAGATCCACCTGCCTCTGCCTCCTAAGTGCTGGAATTAAAGGTGTGTGCCACCATGCCCAGCTAGTTTCATTTATTTTATGCCTAAAACCAGCTAGAGAGATTGAGAAGGCAGAAGTCTCATTACCTACCGGATAGATATTTCCTTTTACAAGATAGCCTTTTTCAGGCTTCAGGAGCAGGTAATCTCCCCTGAATGGCACAATTCGAGGATCGGGATTACAGCCACTCAGCTCTGAAATGCGGTCTGAGTAAAGTCCTGCACATGTCACAACATACCGACACTGAATTTCCTTTCCCTAGTGCAAAAATCAAAGGGCAGAATTAGTTAACTCAGGGAAGATACTGCTTGACATTGGTCTTGGCAATGATTTTTTGGATAGGGCATCAAAAGCACAGATAACAAAAGCAAAAGCAAATAAGTAGGCTACATCAAAAAGCTTCTGCACAGCAAAGGAAACTATAACTTGCCATTGACCTGACAAGAGGGTAACATCTAAAATATAAAAAAACTCAAGCAACTCAATGGAAAAAAAGGCAAACGATCCAATTAAAAATGGGGAAAGAATGGTTGGGCATGATGGCGCATGCCTTTAATCCCAGCACTCAGGAGGCAGAGGCAGGTGAGTTCAAGGCCAGCCTGGTCTACATAGTGAGTTCCAGGCCAGCTGGGGCTACAGGGAGTCCCTATCTCAAAAAGACCAGGAAAGGGGCTAGAGAGATGGCTCAGCAGTTAAGAGCACTGACTGCTCTTACAGAGGACCTGGGTTCGATTCCCAGCACCCAAATGATGGCTATGAACTGTCCTTAACTCCAGTTCCAGGGGAATACGAAGGTCTCTTCTGACCTCTGCGGCATTGCACGACACAGGTGTACTCACATACATGCAGGCAACACCCTCATAAACGTAAAATAAAAATAATAAATAAAATATTTTTTAAGAAAACAGAAAATAAGCTGGGCGTGGCGCACGCCTTTAATCCCAGCACTCAGGAGGCTCAAAAAGACCAAAAAAAAAAAAAAAACCCAGAAAATAAAAAAATTAAAAAGGGGATAGAACCTGACAAGACACCTTTTCAAATTCACATAAACAGCCACCTGCTACAAGAAAAAGCACTCAACTTCATGAGACACCAGGTAAATCCAAATCAAAACTCTTGAGAGATCCTCTCTTATCTATTAGGAAATAAGTAATATGTCTATATAATTACTCAATATTTCTTATTTTTTTATTATTTTATGTGTATGAATGTATTGCCTGCTTGTGTGTAAGTCACCCATGTTGTACAATGCCTGTGGAGGTCAGAAGAGGACATCGATCCTCTGGAACTGGAGTTACAGATGGCTGTTAGTCTCCATGTGGGTGCTGGGATTCAAACCTGGGTCCACTGCAAGAGCAACCAGTGCTCTTACCCGCTGGGCCATCTCTCCAGCCCCTACTCAATATTTCTTTATTGTCACTATTATGGGCTGAATTATGTCCCCTCAAAATTCATATATTCAAGCTCCAACCTATTATAGAGGCAATTAAGGCTAAATGAGGCCATGAGGGCACAGGTCTAATCCACAGAACTGTCATCCTTTCAAGAAGAGATAGCTAAGATCACCCAGGCGTTCAAGGACACAGTGAGAAGACAGCCACTTATAAATCAGGAAGAAAGACCACAATAGGAAGTAACCCTGATAGCACCTTCGTACTGGACTTCGGGCTCCAGGAGTGAAAAAGTAACACTGCTGCTCAGGCTATCCAGTTTGTTGTTCTGTCATGGCAGTCTGAGAAAACAGGACATAACCTTCTCTCCCATTATTTACAGTTTCTTAACCCCAGCACTACTGCTATTTGGAGAAGGATACTTCTAATGTAAGATGTTTAAACGGTGGTTACTTTTATATGTCAATACTTAAGGATCTAAATGGGAAGGTATAGTCTTTTTTGAGAGTTAACATATTTTCAGTTGTATAAGGGATAGTTATATGTTGTTAGATGAAAACATAATTTTATTTGCTATTTTTATTTGGAGACTAAGAATGGTTTTAAAGAGGATATAGTTGTCCACACCTGCTGGGCATAGTAATGTGCAATTCAGTGTTCCACTTGGGTAACAAGATACCTGGCTTCTCAGATTGCGTAGAAAGCCTTTGATCACTACCTTCTGATCCTCCACTTCCCTAGATGGTCTCACAACCATTAATCCAGTGTTCCACACCACTCAATGGTTCCTACTTTAGACTATATGAAGATAAAGGAACACAATCACGTTGCTCTGTACACACTATGCACTCCTCCACATCGTTAAATTAGTAAGTGAATGTACATCAGTTGGTAGAATGATACAACAGCTATCAATTCTGGCTAAATTAAAACACTTCAGATGAGTACAATGCTATTCTTTGCTAGCATAGCTGCTTTATTAAAACATCCTGAAAGTGAAACCTTTGTTTAAAAAAGACTGTTGCATTGTACTAAAAGAATTTATCAAGTTAAACTTGGGGACGCATGTCTGTATAGTGACTGGGATAAGCTACCCAGGATCCTGTGAACAACCCCTCACTCATGTTCCTGTAAGTAGCCCGAATGAGACTCACGGTCATCAAAACAGACATGAAAGTAGAAGGGGGACTAACTGGAAAGAGGAAAGGGGTCAGTGGGAGGGGACAAGAGGTTACAGAAGGGTGGATGCAGTCAAAACACATTCTATACATGTATAAAAATGCCATAATGAAACCCAGTATTATATGTAAGTAATATATGCTAAGAAAAACGTATTTAAAAAAAACAAGGTAGCTGGCTCCGGAGAAAGGACACCTGAGGCTGTCCTCTGCCTCCCACACACATGTAGCTACACACATGTGAACACATACACACATAAATGTACATACAACAAAAATAACAGTAATTCAATAATTTTCTAAGTACAGGAAAAGGATGAAATTGGACAAGAGTTCAGCTTAAGAATCTTTACCTTTGTACTCCTTACAACAATTGGGTATTTCATCCCTAGAGGGATAAAAAAGAATTAGTGAAATTTTCAGTTTAGCAAAGGAAAGCCGTCATTATTTGAGATATTGTAACAAATTTAAATGACTATCAATTGTATTCTACTTTTCATTCTCAAATTTTTTATCAAGGTTAAAGTAATTCATATTTGACAAAATACAAAGTGTGTGCACTATTTGGCTAGGCTCTTTTAACTCATCTTTGTTATCAGCTATTAGATATAATGCTCTACAGCAGACCATCGTCAATCAGTATTAATTCTGTCCATAGAAGTAAAGGTCGGGACACAAGACACAAGAAACCCTGCTGTCCACATGTTGGTTACCCGATTCCTTGCGGAGTTGCGGTTCTTTAGAGAAGCAAGTGTTTCCGTAACACAAAAATTCTAATAATGAACTGACCATTCATAAAATTTGCTTCCATTTACTGGTGGGAGAGAAAGTCTTACACAGTATATGTACCAAAAACAAAGAAAACAATCTACCTGTATATAAAAATTGACTTTCTGTGCTACTTACCTATAACAATTTTATAGTAATTTTGTTCCTCATCTTAGAATTTAGAAGAACACTAGGAGAATGATTCATGCAGTCTAGATTTCCTGTAAAACCTCTTAAGAACAAATTTTTTTCTCCTTCAAATTTCCTTGCAGTAAATAGAAAGTTTATGTCACTCATTTCATTTTTAAAAAATTAATGCTCTCAAAGCAAAACAAAAAAGAACTTAAACTGTTGTCTAAAGTCGAGTAGAAGGGTTGGAGAGATGGCTCAGCAGTTAAGAGTACTGGTTGCTCTTGCAGAGGACCTGGGTTTGGATCCCAGCACCCATATGGTGGTTAACTGTCTGTAAATCCAGTTCCAGAGGATTCAATGCCTTTTTCTGACCTCCATGGGCTCTGGACAACATGGTGTACTTATATTCATGCAGGCAAAACACTCATGGGATAGAGGAGGTTGGACTCAGAATGGCTGAGTCTTTTTATGGTACTGGGCTGCCATTTCTGAAATCTAGAGGAAGAATCACCAGGTTATCGTCCTAGGTCATATTCCCAGACAGGTGGATTCAGGAAGTCTAGGTGGTGCTAATTATATGTGTTTATAAGAAGCATCCCCAAGAGATATTGACTTAACCTGTGGGGAACTGTTTGCAGGACAACTGTATATTAACAGCCTTGGCAGTTCAGATTTTGGTACCAGCCACAATATCTAATGAAGGCCTACTTCTTTCAGGACATGAACTTCCATGAGTTATGGGTTTCCTCTCTCCAATCTCACTCTTGATCCTTCTGCACTCTCTCTCACTCTGACTCTGTGTCCTATTCTAGCTTGACTCCTGGTAGCCTCTGACCAGTAAAAAAAGCAATCCCATTTTAAAAAAAGTCTTTAGAAAAGGACAGCTTACCATCCTTACTTGCTGAAGGGCTTTCTTTAGCCATTTCAATGTCTTTTACTTCAAAATCTTTCAAGATAGAGCCACCTGCTTCTTGGAAATCCTGGGCAAATGACAAAGCTATCTTTCGGTAGTCCACAATGCCAGTATATGGACAATCAATAGCCATTAGACCCTAGAACAGAAACATGACTAAGTCAAATAATACAATAAAAAAATCAGTGAAGTTTGTTCAAAATTTTATTTTTGTCTAAAAATTTTTACTTATTTATTTTAATGGGAAACACATTATCTTTGCTTGACAAAAATCTGACAGCTTTTTTTAAAAAAGTAACAGAACAGTTTGCTCTCTTAAGTGCCTAAGAGCCTTAAGTGTATTTGATGAAATACATACATGTGTTTAATGGAGGGGAGAAATAATACTAGGTAAATAAGAACATCTCTGTAATTTTCCTTCTTTTTCTTTTTATATATAAAGGTGTTTGATTTCCTCAACATAAGACCTGATACCCTACGCCCAGAAAGATGGCTCAGTGGTTAAGAGCACTACCTGTTCTTACAGAAGACACAGGTTCAGGTCCCAGCACCAACATGGTAGCTAACAAACTTCCCTAACTCTAGTTCCAGGGGATTCAACCCCCTCTTCTGGCCTCTGTGTGCATTACACATATGGGGTACACTTACATACATGTGGGCACTCATACCCATAAAAAAAAAAACAAATAAACCAAAAAATAATAATAATAAAAAGACCTGATACCTTGAATCTGCTAAAGGAGAAAGCAGGATATACACAGATCTTATAGGTACAGAAAAGGACTTTCTGAACAGGACTCTTTGTACAGGCATTAAGTCCAACACTGGCAAATGTGACCTCATGAAACTAAAAGGCTTCTGTACAGTAAAGGACACCATCATTTAAGTAAAGAGGAAACCTACAGAATGGGGAAAATTTACCAGGTATACCTCTGACATGGTTAGTATCCAGAATACACAAAGAACTTAAAAAAAAAAATGATGCCAGGTATACCTCTGACAGGGCTAGTATCCAGAATACACAAAGAACTTAAAAAAAAAATGATGCCAGGTGTAGTAGCACACACCTTTAATCCCAGCACTTAGGAGGCAGAGGCAGGCAGCTCTCTGTGTTTAAGGCCAGCCTGATCCACATAGTGAATGCAGCTACAGGGAGACCAGTCTCAAAAGGACCAAAAAAAAAAAAAAAACCCAAACAAAACAAAAACAACCAAACCCAAACCAAAACAAACAATGCTGGGCCAAGGTAGCTCACACCTTTAATCCCAGCACTAGGGATGCAGAGGCAGGTGGATCTCAGGTCAGCCTGGTCTACAAAGTGAGCCCCAGAGGGGCTGGGGCTAGGGAGACCTTGAAAAAACAAAACAAAACAATCCAACCCAATTAAAAATTGAGGCAAGGAACTAAACAGGAAGTTCTAAAAAGATGGAAAACACACACACACACACACACACACACACACACAAATATATATATATTGGTCTTTTTGAGACTGGGTCTCCCTGTAGCTCCAACTGTCCTGGAACTCACTATTGTAGACCAGGCTGGCCTTGAACTCACAGAGATCCACCTGCCTCTGCCTCCCAAGTGCTGGGATTAAAGGCATGTGCTACCACATCTGGCGAAATATATATTTTTTTAAATGTTCAACAACTTTAGCTATCAGGGAAATTCAAACTATGAGATTTCATCTTACCTCAGAATGACTAAGAGCCAATGAATGAATGAATGAACAATGATAAATGCTGGCAAGGATGTGGGGAAAGGGGGACTCTTATTTACTGCTGGTGGGAGTGCAAACTGCTGTAGCTACTATGGAAATCAGTGTGGAAATGCCTAAAAACCAGAAATAGATCTACCACATGATCCAAGTGGGCATATACCCAAAAGACTATATCCTACTATACAAAGATACCCACGTTTATTGCTGCCCTTTTCACAACAGCCAGGGCATAGAAACAACCTAGCTGTCCATCAACTGATAAATGGATAATGAAAGTATCATACATTTACACAATGGAATATTATACAGCTATTAAAAAGATGAAACTTGGGGCTGGAGAGATGGCTTAGCAGTTAACAGCACTGACTGCTCTTGCAGAGGACCTGGGTTGGATTCCCAGCATTCTGTGGCATTGCACGACATGGGTGCATTCACATACATGCAGGCAATACACTCATTAAAAAAAATTTAAAAAGATGAAACTTGCAGGTAAATGGATAGAACTGGAAACAATCATCCTGAGTGAGGTAACCCAGACCCAGGAAGATAAGTTATTTGTTCTCTCTCATAAGTGGATAGAGCTTTGAATCTTTTCTCTTTCTTTCTTTTTCCCTTCCTTCCTTCCTTCCTTCCTTCCTTCCTTCCTTCCTTCCTTCCTTCCTTCCTTTCTTTCTTTCTTTCTTTCTTTCTTAACTGGATTTAAGGTCTGCTTCACCAGATGGAGCCTGTATTAGGCCTAGGAACCTGTGCTACACAGGTTATTCTGCTAAATGGACTTTTTTTTTTTTTTTTTTTTTGGTCTTTTTTAGGCAGGGTCTCCCTGTAGCCCCAGCTGTCCTGGAACTTGCTGGCCTTGAATTCAGAGATCTGCTTGCCTCTGCCTCCCAAGTTCTGGGATTAAATTTGTGCCACCATGTCCGGCCTAAATGGACATATTTTTAAGCTAATTCCTAATGACATTACTATACCCATAGATTAATGCACCTTTTAAACTCTCACCAGAATTTTCTTCATATAGCAGATAACAATTAATGCAGAGACCCAGAGAATAAGAGACTGCGGAGTGCTTAGCCCTGAATGAGACACCTGTATCAAACTCTCCCCTCCCAAGGCTCAGAGATAATTGTGGATGAGGGAGAGGAAATTTTCTAAAAACAAGAAGTGGTGATGACTAGAAGGAAACAGTTTTCCAGACAGCAGGGCAGTTACTCATGAACTCAGAGCACTTGTGATAGCATGCAAAAGACCTATGAAAACTAAAGCCAGGTAAAACCCCAGCGGGGCGAAGAGGAGGTAAGAAGCCCCAACCCTAGCTGCGGAATTCTCGGTAACCGACAGCAGCTATGAGCGGGAGAGTCCAATTCTTTAAGGATGTAATGGACCAACACCAGAGTGTATTTGGGGCTACAAATTACTCAACGGACCTTAAAAATAATAATAGAGGACATGAAATCAGGAACGAGGTAGTAAGGGAGGCAAAGACAGGAAAGGAAGTCTGAATATAATCAAAATAGATTGTATGAAATACTCAAAAATTAAGTAAAATATAAAAGAAAAAAATTTTTTCTTACAATTTTTAAATTATGTCTATATATGGGGGCACACAGGGTTGGAGGTAATGTGTCCATGGGAAGAAGTGCTTGTGGAGTTCAAAAAAGGGCACTGGGGCTGGAGACATGGTTCAGCACTTAAGAACACTAGCTGCTCATCTAGAGGACACAGGTTCAGGCACCAGCACCCATAACTCCAGTTCCAGGGAACCCGATGCCTTCTTCTGACCTCCAAGGACACTGCATGCACATGGTGCACTTACATACATGCAGGCAAAACACTCAAATACACAAAAATTAAATAAATAAATAGGGCATTGGATCTCAGCAACTATGAAAATAAGAGCAACGTGAAGGGACTTATGGTGGCATGCAAAGTGGCAAGACCTGAAGTCAATCCACCTGCACGGACTGAGGGTTTATTAGGTACTTGTGACCATGCTGGACATTTGAGTTAAACTGAGGGAAGAATAATGGTAAGACATAAATAAGGCCAAAGATCTAGGTGAAGCTCAGAGCATGTGAATCCTTCAAGCAGGCATTAGAAAGGCTGAGCAGAAATTATAAGCCACATTAGCAGGGATTTTGAAAATGCTGTAGTGATGATTAATTTACTTCACATCTCTGAACACTGGTTCTCTCCTTTATTAAACATTCATTTCAGAGCAGGGAGTGTCATCACATCTCCATGTACACACATACACACACAAACACACACACAAAGCCACACTGCAGTCATGCCCCCCCAGTGCCACTGTGTTTGAAGACAGGACTTTCAAGGAGATAATTAAACCAGGTCATAAGGATGAGATGGTAAATCCATAGGTTGGTATCTACATAAAAAGATGAGATATAGACCAGGTGCGATAGCACACGTCTTTAATCCCAGCACTTGGGAGGCAGAGGCAGGGGATTTTCTGTGAGATCAAGGCCAACCTGGTCTACATAGCAAGTTCTAGGCCTGTTGGAACTACAGGGAGACCCTGTCTCAAAAAAAAAAAAAAAGGCTATGAATATGGAATGGAAGTTTTTATATAACTCACAGTTTCTTTCAGGTGCTGTGAGAGATTAACAGCCGGGTTTTTTTTGCTTTTGTCACTGAAGACATGAATTTAGACCTAAACTAATGCTTGCTTTATTTTTTGGAATAAATGTTGAATGTGTCATTGGCTTTTTCTAATTCTAAAGAAAAGGACAAGAGCAGGAATTCACACAAGAAATACTGAATATATTTTGTTGCTACACTTTGACAACAGTTTTTTGTCGCCTTGCTGTATACACACACATCAGTTCTCTAAATCATCTTCCCATAGAAGGTAGCTGGTTCCCCAGATAAGCCCGGAGCTGAGTACAACCAGCAATTTCTGCTGCCTTCCTGTTTGGTCAACAGAGCACTGTTGTTTCCGTTTCAAAAACTAATATCTGAAATAACATGTTAAATATCTCACTGCTGTATTCCCTGCCCCTACCCAAGCCCAGCTTGGCCCTTACAGCTTTTCACTTTGCTACCCACCCCTAAGCAACAATGCCTGATGGCCAAATCATGCCAAGGGCCCACAAAGCATGCAATATTTGGCAAACTTCACCATTTACCTGACAGTCTTCATTCTAGAATATGAAAGCCTTTGTTAGGTTCAGGAAGTCATTCCTGTTTTGGTATGGCTGATATAAGACCTTACATTAGTCTTTATCCAACTCAATTTTAACCTACAGATTGTATCTTCAGTACAATAATCGAGGAAATGAATATAATATCAAGGGTTTACTCCACAAACTTCCTTATTGACCATAAAAACTGTGACTAATATAGTAAGAAAGGAATAAAAATGTGCTGTAAAAGTGCTTCATTCTGAATCAGTGGTTTTC